TTCTCTTCCTCGAATCTCGATCCTCGATATTTTTTCCCGTATTTTCGATTCCACTTCGATACCCTTTTTCCCTCCATAGATTGGCGGCACTACGCCTATATATGTGTTGAGTGTGTACTTCACAATGGTTCGCAGCAGGCTGTGCAGTGTATATATACTCTTAGACTCTCTAGTCATTTCACATTTCGTATTCATTTTGGCCAATTTCTCTAATATTTATTTATTGCAAATCAATGAAATATAAAAAATTTAGATAACATTTCATATTTTTGTTCGGAATCGAATGCGATAGGAATCCGAATCGAGAGGCTAATATCGAGAACGGATTCGATATCGAGAGGCTTGTGTATCGTTTTACAGCCTAATTAGACATATGAGAGCCCCGAATTTCCGTCAAAAAAGTTCGCCAATATTGCCTGTAGTATGATACAACCCACACCATCTTAACAATGTAAATCCAGTGCACTTGTAGATGACCGTATTCTACTAGCTTCTATTATATGGACACTTTTATGCCCACACTGCGTTATTCTAGTTGTACATTAGAGTTGGACATTGATTTAAGTAGCTTTGTCTGGTGACTAGTAATTGTGATATTCCTCTGTGCAGGATGAAGCATGATGACGTTTGACTTGTTTGCTTCTGATGACGAGAGAGTAAGAAGATTGAGAGACTATTAAGGATCAGGAGGAAAGGGTACATGCTACAATGCAAAGCGAAGCAAAGAACAGGTGATAATTACCACGCAGAGATTTAATCATGCTGTATGCAAATGAGAATCGAAATACTTTGTCTAGCAAATTTCTATTATTTCCATGTTGTACCTACCTGCTGTGCTACTTGGCGTTGACCACCATGATGTTAAATACATGATAGCTGAATTAGTTAATTAAGTTCACTTGCTATATGCTGCACAATTGATTTAGAAAATACCTGACATTAGATAACCACAGAACTTAATTTCGCTGCAACAGAAACGTATTTTACCTGTGTGTTGGGGCCGCTTTACTGCCAATGTAATTGACATCCAATTTGCCAATCGGTATGAACTGCGATTCCCCGACACACTTCTGAATATCTTGGGGAGAAGCTTGCACTGTATAACTGTCAATCGAGGAAAATGCCAAAAAAGTTTTAAAAGGTGGTTGTTTGTTCCATAATCGTCTGTCCATTGAACACAGGTGTTGTGTGTGGGGACTGTACGTAGAAAATTTGACGCAGCACCGACGCAACGTAACGTTCGGTTTTCGTTTCCATCTAGCGCTTGATCGCCAGAGTCGATGATCATCCTCGACGTGAAGCCGTGGGAGGACGAGACGGACCTGGTGGAGATGGAGGTGTCTCGTGCGAGGCGTCGTGGCGGACGTCTCGTGTGGGGCGCCTCGAAGCTCGTGCCCTCGCGTACGGCATCAGGAAGCTGCAGATCGCTGCGTCGTCGGGGACGACAACGATCGGGGCACGGACTTCCTCGAGGAAACGATCACGCATTCAGAGGACCACGTCAGTCGGTCGACCATCGCCGCCTTCAACAAGCTGTAGGGCTGTCACCATAGGGCGTTCTACCTCGACGTCGCCTCCGTCGGCGAGCGGCATCGGCCGGTCCGCGCACCGGGTTGTCGGACGGTGTACGCTATCGCGTCACAGTTTCGCTTTTCTGCGCCCGTTTAACGAAATAAAGGTGTGTTTGCAAATGAAATGATTGTTGCATATATTGATTGATATTTGTTGAGATGTGTATGGCTGCCCTTCTCCGAGACATACCTCGAATTGAGATAGTTAAATTGCAGTAAGTGAGACATGTGATAACATCCTTGATGTGATTGAAATATCTATCACTTGATTGTAGAGGATAATCTTCATAACTTTGGTATATGGTCCACCATCTGGTAAGTTGTGCATAAAACGTTGGTATACCCTAGCTACACTGGTACACAATTACTGTATATATACAGACTTGCAGCCTTTCAGTTCAATTAGCAATTGTACAGAATGATCACGCAAATTGGTGCTCCTTGATTCAACTGAATCGCCTGATGGACAGTGGCGTACTAGGATTTTTCCAGGAGTGGGGGGGGGGGCACTGGGGGTCCATACATTTCGTGGGGGGGCACAATATATAATTTTATTGAGATGTGGTTCGAACTTCTTTCATTGTATTATACTGTTGCTAACGGCATTATTTTTCATCTCAAATTTTTTTATCAAGCATGATTTTCAGTGGGGGGCCACCTGGGGGGCACCAAAAAATTTGTGGGGCGGCACGTGCCCCCCCCCCCCCCAGGCCCCCCGTAGCTACGCCCCTGCTGATGATATCTTGGATCGTTGCAATATGGCTGCATCCTATTCTTTAACAAAACTTCCAATAGATGACAGCACTTGTGAAGCGATCGTGAATGTAAGCTATCTGCATGAAAAGTGAAATTAAATATGTTTTATGAGAACATAGATATGTACACACACATGGATTGCTGACTTTCCACTGAAAACAGTCTTCATCTACATTAAAAGCAAAACATAAACATACCTTCATTATTATATTATGGTTTTCTATCGATTCTATTATTATCATCAACACTGAAATGGCATCCTGTAACATTGATTTCAATGTATTAGAAGAAATACAGATCCGTTCACAATTACAGTTACAGAGTCAACAATTACATGCCACGATTATATATTCTGTACTGCCTCAACCTGCATGTTGTGTTAGCTGTACTGCATGTATTACTATTATTATCCGTGTATAGACAGTATTTACTCAATTTTGACATATACATTTTATCTTTCACGATGTCCATGTCAATATAAAACACAATTACAATATCAATATGGTAAGCAATGAAAGTGTCAATGACACTGTAGCTCACCACAAAAAAATGACACAAATGAGTGAGTGAGAAGCAGTCAGTTTTAATTGAGGCAACATCGCACGTACATTTAGAAACGAAGAGTATATATGGAGAACTCCATTCTATACTCTTGATATTATATGTGTAATTTTTTATGTGAAAATAATAAATAATATATATAAATTATAAATATGTATAAACCAAAATGAATCATAATTGTGACCGTAGATGGCGCTATAACCGCTTTATGTTTCTTAGCATAAATCATTATATCATAAAAATAATAAATCAGGTGTTCAATATATTTGATACACTCCTGATACACAATATAATGATACACTCCTGATAATATAATAATAGTATAAATCATAATATGTTCATAGCTAGGATATTTTGCATTAAAGATATTGTCAATGAAATCTTGTAAAACGAACCAGAGACGAGTGTGACGCCACAGACTGTTTGTTATCTGCGTGTCTATATAATGCTATATAATTGCCAAATCCTACCTATTTGCATAATTTTTTTTTAAATATCAAAATCCCTAGCCCTTATTCATTCACATACCAAAAATGAGCAAATCCGTTGAACCTGAACTGACTAATGGATTCCCATTTTGCCAAAAAATTGCGTGGCTCGAAAGTACGTAGACTGGCGTGCTCCAAAATAGGACGTTAATATGGCAGATGCAGTAACAACTATACCCAATTTCAAACATGTGGGTCAAACAGTTCCTGAGTTATCATTGACCGTAGCCAATGTTGACGGACAGACGGACGGACGACGACCCATGGCAATAGCTCAGCTTGACGATGTCAAGGTGAGCTAATAAAAATGATACTCATATCGAATGGACTGGATACTGAGTCTTTAACAACCTGAGGCTGAAGGAGAAAGAAGTGCATGTCTGCGCCAAAACCATCACCAAGATATATTATTTTGCAGGACAAAATCCGTAATACCTAGCTAAAGTAGTTGAAATGCCACTGCGTATAAATTTAAACTTGTTTGGTCCCTCGTACGATAACAGTTGCAGGTCATTTACACCGTGGACACCATGGTGAGGGGACTGAATGCAGGAAAACACGTTTGCTAAATGCTACATGTTCGGGTGATGTTGTCTGCGGTATGTTACGTGTATCGATGATGACCCACCTGATTGGAAGCGACTGCATATATTTATGACATACAATCTATTTACGACAATTGAGCATGCCAGACTGCACGTGGAAACACTTATCTCTTAAAAAATATGTAACAGCACATTTTTATTTCGTATCATGAGAAAAGTCATTGATCATAAATATACAAATAACATTTGTGCAAATTTACACGACCTGACTAGTGCTGAGAATCATAATTTCAGATAGAACAGCATATGGTTCCACAAGCCATTTTACTTCTACATATGTACAGATTTTACAAACTTAATTCAGCGGAGTTATTCTCTTGTTGGCGATATGCTACACGAAATGATGAAAGACAGGGACTTCCTCAAGACATGCGGGCTCACATTGAGAGCTTAAATAATGAAAACAGTTAAGTCTCATTATTAAACTTAGTGTAAGAACAATCCAAAATTAAGCTTACTAGAGGTTAAACATGTGCAGTATGTACAAACTATAAATACTATAATATACTATATTTTAATATACAGTTTTCCGATGTATTCCAATACGTTTTAACATAACCATTTTCTCTATACATATATACATTCTTGTTTTATAGCTCTTCGCATTCCTCTTCGTCATTTTTTGATGCTTGCATAACTAAACAGGTATTTTTACATCAGCTATGAGAGAGGTTATGCAAGCATTCCAGCAGAAACTGTTTATGTAGACACAAACAATTATAAGACAATGGGGTATCCTCAGAACGCTTCTTGGCTGCACTGCGTATATTTCAGGCCATTTTTAAAACAAAACATGAAACAACAGCCCAACCAGAGAAACTAACGTCATAATTTCAATCAGACCAGGAAAATGTGCATTATACATTGCTTGAAGTGTTCTACAGATTGCGCAAGTGAGCCTTTCGTTTGCAACCCAGCAATAGAAAACAGACCTAAAACTCAGTAAACTTGATGTTTAGGGCTTCTCGCAACATTTCGTTGTATTAGTAGGCCTATACCAGTTTTGCAGCACTCCTGACGAGGACCTGAGGAGTCATGGAGCAGGATACTGAGCGGATAGTGGATCCATGCTGCATGCGTGATGTGTATGTCACATGCCGATAATATCTTAATTGTTTCCCATGGTTGGAGCTTAGCAAAATTTTGAAGATCAGGGTTGGTAATCCAGGACACAGAGGAAGGCTTTCCAGCTTTTTTTAGATATTGAACAACCCAAATTTTATCAAATGAATGATGTGAAGGTGTGGTGCAGAATATACCAAGCACTTCCACCTTGGTAGATAGATCACTGTGTATGTGTACACACAGCTGGATCTGAAGTGTAGGCTGGGCTGAGTCCACAAAAATAATAGTTGACACCATCATGTGAATTTTTTACAACCTTTCCAAGGTGGCTTGACTTCACATGCTTGCCTTCCTTACTCCATCTAAATAAGCCACTCGTTCGATGGCAGGTGGGGTGATCTCGGTGTCTAAAATGAAGAAAAAATATAACGAAAAATGAAGCAAAACTAAAAAAGCACTATATAGACGAATGGAAGGATGCAGATAGAAGTTAGTTACTTATTATAAATACATTGTAATATAATATGATTTTTACTAAGTCAGAATCTAAAAAAATGGAATGTTAGCCAAACTGGACATGTAGTCAAATTATATGCATAATGCAGGGTAGAATTTAACTTTTGAAACCACTCACAATTTTTTGCGAGCGCCGGTCAAATTTCAACTCGCAAAATCCAAAACACTCGCATTTTTAATATAATTATTTTTGTAGTGTATAATATGTAAACACTAATTAAAATGTTATCTTTTTAGTTACTTTATAAATGTTATATAATGTTGAGACAACTTTATTAAGCCAGGCTACAAGCGTGAAGATAGAATACTCTTGTAGCGCCGATCGCACAGGTTTATTAATCCCTTACTCAGTTTGTAGACAGTACGTGTTTATAATTTTGCAAAAATTAGTTTGGTCTAGTTCTGTTTTGACTTATGTTGACAAGTTGTTACTTTTAAAATGCCTGGATATGGGATGTTGGATTTTGATAGTCATCACAACAGATTATATGTCACTCGCACAAAATGCAAGTGCTTATATTTTCTACTCGCAATTTTCGGAATCCACTCGCATTTTGCGAGTGTGCGAGCGTTAATTTCGAACCCTGGCATGCATTATTAATATATTTCAGGTGAATATATTAAACCATCCTACGTACGGTCCTTCCAAGCAAGTGGCTTCGCAACTTTGACACTTTTTTGTGGCATATTTTCGTAAGCTTCCTACATTTAAAGCCCTTCTTCTCGTGGACCTGGAATTTAATAAGATACATATTAGCTAGTGTATGTCATCCAAACCCCACGCATGCACATACGCATATAATATCTTATATTCATAAGAGGGGAGAGGCCGATTTTCCGACGCCTGTATATCTCGCCCGCGGTGACATCAAGCCCACGCCACCGATCAGTGTGTAGCCGTCTTGTCGGACACAACATAGGCTTATCCATATTTGTTAAATCCAGCCATATTGTAGATATAATCAGGAGTAGATAATAGAAGATCTTCTATTATCTACTCCTGATATATGACGATAAATAGAGCTGATAATTTTAGCAGTGGCGTGATGTCAGAAAGTAGAACAGCCGAATTCCCACAAATGTAGCCATCTACGGACAAAGGCAAAACTTTGTTAATACCAGGTAAACTATGCCAATATTATAAAAAAAAAATTATTATGCACTCAGTGTCAGTTGACAGCCTCGAGACTAACAGCTGTCCGATAGCGGGGACAAGTGAGTCTTGTCGGACAAGTTATTCTCTTGCCTAGTTGCCTGATAGCGAAACTGAAAAATTCTAGTTGTTTAATATTCCTAACATCCTTTGAGCCAGGGCGCTATCGCACCACGTTCTCTCACGTCAAACGATTCAAAGGTCGCTGAAAAAGCAGACCGCGACACCCATTGTTACCATTACATATTTATTCAGAGCGGCCGCACGTACCTCCCTGGCCGGGGCGTGAATTTTTTTTCCCTACACGTTATATCCATTGGGCTCATTATATCCATCAGGAGTAGATAATAGGGAGGAGTGTGACATCAATAAACAAGGGAAATTCGTCATTTACTAGCCTTATAATACCTACGATTTACTACGCGTAACTCATCCAACTTGAGCTCAAATCGGACACAGTACATTCGCTATCATCGTGCGAAATCGTTTCCTCGTAGACACCCGCAATCCGGAGATACAGCCTAAAACGTACGACACGATTCTCCATTCTTTGCGCATCAATCCAACGCCATTGCGCGCCTATAATTCAAACAAAAGGCAGCTACCTAACGCGCTATTGCTAACTCAGCGAGGCTTGTGCTCGCTGGGAGATTAGCATCAACACTCGGCGAGATATACCTTTGACCCGGTTACACAGCTACACAGGCCACTCTGTACATAGCTGGCATGCCTTCACGCCCACGCCACGCCAACGCATGATTAGCTCGTCGAGTGTTGCGTCGATCTCCCCACGAGCCACAACGCCACATTCCGCATTCCGAGAGAGCAAACACAGCGACTGCGCGCAGTGTTGCTGCCTTTTGTCTGAATTATAGGCGCGCCAATGGATTGGATTTGATGGCCAAAGAATGGAGAATCGTGTCGTACGTTTTAGGCTGTATCTCCGGATTGCGGGTGTCTACGAGGAAACGATTTCGCACGATGATAGGCAAATGTCTGCTTGTCGAATTTTGATATATGTATTTTCATATCTACACGGGTGTCTCCGTGTGTTTTTACTTATAACATATATACTTGTGTATATATATATATATATATATATATATGCATTGTCATGTACATAACAAGAATATACATAATATCAGGAGTGTTATCTATATTATGACACTCCTGAGCCTGATCATATCACGCTGTTATGCTGTTATAATCGCAATATTAACGCTAATTTCCATGTTTCTCAGGTTGACCGAACAGATCAGGTGCTCTTGATGACCAAGTCTAGAACAGCCTCATGCTCTGAACTAAAAAATGCGAAGCTGGGATACGAACAGCTGAAGCTTACGCATGGTGCGAAGATAGTTATATGCAAATATATATGTGACGATTTATAGTTAATATTTATTATTTTTTATTATTTATTGTGAATAATAATAGATTAATTATTCATGTCAAGCTGCTTCACCCTCTATCTCCCTCGCGTAGATTCCATTTCCCACCCATTCATATTTTCTGTCGAAGTTACAAGTTTGTTCCAGATAGTTCCCCCCCCCACCTCTCTCTCTCTCTCTCTAGCTCTCTAGATAGCTCTCACTCTTTCTCTCTCTCGCTAGCTCGCTCCTGTCTGTGTTCCCGTCTGTGCATTTAATGTAGCCACTCTCTCTCCCTCTCTCTTTCTTTCCCCCCTCTGTGTTCTTATCTGTGCATTCAATGTGACCATCGCTTTCCAATAAAAGCGAATCTATACAAGCGAATTGCTTGCAATCTATGCATAACTTTGCATAATAATCCTACCTGCCTGCTACCACGGTCTGCAGAAGATTGTTACTAGCATAGTTGTAAACCCATAGAAAGAGACGCTACCTCGACTATACGTAAACTATATTACATCGTAGACATATTCATGCATATACATGTGCTATGTCTACTACAGTCGGAGTCAATGTTCGGTGTTTACATCCCCACAGTTAAATCCGAGACGGTGATTCCGAAATGCTCCTTCCCGGCGACGTTGGCGGGAACGTGGTACAACACGGCCAACTACGACTCGACCGTCATTATCAACAGAACGCACATACACGAGATCAGTCAACCGGACCAGAGCGCTCCCGAAGATCTCTACTACGTCTGTCAGGAGTCGAGAGACACTCGCTTTCTCATCGCGAAACTCGGAATCGGTGGCTGGTGCGTCAACATTTTGGCTGCAATATTGCGTAGATATATAAATAAGGGGAAACGGTTCTTTTCGGAATGCGGGTTTGGCGCGAGTTTATTTGGCTCAGATACCTGCAAGCCAGGAAATACCAGATGGTTCTTTTTAAATTGAGATATTTAAGGCTTAAAAATAAGGATTTGCTATTTTATTTAACTGGGAAGTATGTAATTGCATATTTTGAGACTGGGGTACTGGAAATTGCCCCCCACGTTCATCCTCGTATTCATTTTAATATAAATAACTGTTACAAAAATAGAGTTAGTCTAAATGATTTAACCTTATCAACGCGCCGCAGTTGTTTCCGTATCTCTTTCAGCCAACTCGACTACATGTGCTTCGACATCTTAGAACGCCATCACAACGTGATTCAGTTTAGACAGGGCCGCCTTTTCCCGAATAGCGACTTCCGGGCAGTCTGCGCATGGTCAGCATTCGACAACGACGCTCATTGGCGATACAGCATACTCGTCAACGCCAACCCAGTCGCAGTCCCGTGCAGCATTCGCGGCATTTTCGAATTCGAGCAGTACGGGAATAGCAAGCTTATAGTCAGAGACGGTACGTTTTACATAATTATGTTAGAAAATTAATAATATTAATATTAGTATTGTTATTACGAATGACTTAACAAAAAGCAGCCCTACAGGCGTTGGTCAGGAAGTCCCCAGGAAAGAGCTGGAGTGCGTATAATAAGAGAAACAGCCGCAAACGCTGCACGTGGTTTTACTGGCCAACATACGGCGGTATAACTCACGCATACACAAGCACGCACGCTCGCCTGCTCATCCGAACGCACAATCGTCCTCCGCACCGCACACACGCACACACGCACAGGCACTTGAAACGTCTCAATTAAAAAAAAGGTAAATAAACACGAAATGTATTTACTACCAAAGTCTTATGTTTCTCTACTCTATTTTCACCTATTATTGCCGATAATTACCCGTAAATGCCGGTCAAATGCTCATCTGCAACACACAAGTACACTGCACGCCCGCCCTGTGCACAAACAACATGAATAAGAGAGTTCATGTTCTCTCTTATTCATGTTGTTTGTGCACAGGGCGGGCGTGTGGTGTACTTGTGTTGCAGATGAGCATTTGACCGGCATTTACGGGTAATTATCGGCAATAATAGGTGAAATAGAGTAGACAAACATTAAGACTTTGGTAGTAAATACATTTCGTGTTTATTTACCTTTTTTTAATTGAGACGTTCCAAGTGCCTGCGCACACACGCACAAACAACATTACTCGATATAAGTGCAGCGTAATAAAGTGATTTATTAAGTGAAATATAAAACAAAATTACCTTTTTTCACGCCGGATCGGTACAGGCGTAACAAAAACGCCGTGGGATCCTGAAATCAACTGCACAAGTTGGCACACGGAGTTAAGGATCTGCCCTAATGCTCCGGACACCATGATGATCAACATAAACAAGTGTAAAACACTGGACTACCGAGCACGCGAAGTCAACTTCAAATACGGTATGTTTGTGGCTGCACTCTTAATCTCTTACACTAAACAGGGCGTTGGTTATACACACACCAAAGATTAAATCCAGTGAATTTCCATATGGAATTTCTTCGAGGTTGGCCCCATAATAACCTAAATCATTAATTATATAATTATGTAATTGACTTTATCGTAATTTATAGGGTATTATTATGTAATAATTATTATGATCAATTATTATGATTATATATTATATTGTAGGCGCTTGTTTCTATGAGAGTAGTAATGTTTTAAGATTAGGCTTACGAGGTGGGTCTAGTTGACCTTGAAGTGACCTCTGATCGTGGGTTATCAGTTGACTAAGAACTGCCGGGACCTCAGCCTCTGTGGGAATGTGATAAAAGACCTCCTGAGTTTTGGAGAAAAGACGAAATAAAATCTAACATATAATTAAAGATAAAATAAGATTAAATCACAATGTATCTCCACCTTAATATGCAAGTTTACTAAGAGCTCCACCCCTTTCTCGTCATTTCTTTGCTGATTTCACTAAATTCCATCTTCCCCTTGGAACTTGCTCAGGCTACGGCCAATACTACACAGCAGTTGGATGATAAATCGCACATATGTGCCATCGCAAATCTATTAATACCTAATTACCTATATTGGATATGCGGTTGCCTGTAGAAATCGTCGACTACAAATGGCGCTGCTTGGCCTATTGGAACGAGGACACATTGGCTATGATGTACACATATGACAAAGATGATGCTTACTCAAAGTATCGATGTTGGGTAAGGATGACATGAATATGAATGTTCCTCGTTGAATTACTATTTTTGCACTATTAGAGGCTATAACAAGGGTCACTATATAGATTTTATGCTATTCTTATCGGGTGCTCGGTCAGTATTGTCTTTTGAATTCAGAATTTGAAGAAATCTCGCGATACGAAAACAAAGCACATGTATAATATATACGCGCGTGTGCGTGCGTGCGTACGTCTCGTTTTTCCCTCATGATACTGGGGGTTGTAGTTTTTGCAGCTATACTTTTATGCTTACGTTTTGCAGGTAATACTTCGCGATAGTTACGGACAGTTTACGCTCAGCCGCTCGCATAGAAGTGCTTGCGGAAGGTTTCAAACGGAGCGTGCTGACAGCGACGGTGTTAGTCTACAGCTCGTACTGCGCGACTCAGAAAGAATATGTAAGTCACAGACCTCTTACATTATAGACATATCATGTACATATAGACTCACATATATATATGTCTATAGACAGACAGAGCAATTAACCTAGTCATTGAACCCGTTGTCAGTAACATCACGTGTAATTATGACTGTCATAAGTCTAAAATGATAGTCAGAGTCATAAATATTAAAGTGCATGATATGAGGTGTCCCGAAAAAGTTATGACATTTTGGATTTATAAAGGCAATATAACCATGAATGATGATTTTGATAAAAGGCCTCTGGTTTTTATATGCTGCTGATACTATGATTTCTTCGAACGTTGATTCCACAAGCGGAAATTAAGTAGCATATCTTGTCTTAATTCATTTCCCGGATTTATCACCTGACCTTACAATAACCCTCTAAGCCGTATTCGGCGTTTGCAATCAACTATAGGCACCGCCACGGGGAGTTCTTGACTCAGCCTAACAAGGATTATTAAATAAATCTGATAAATTCGAAAGCGTGCACCGCATGTCAAGCGTGTTTAATTTGCAACATGCGCCGCATTTCACTGCAATATAGTTCGACATCTTTTTTTCACGTGCGAATGATAATTGAAAGTCTCTCTGTACGCCTGCAGGTGCCGTGGACGCACACGCTACGACACGACACTACGTGCGTAATTAAAGACGTACGTGTCGCTTGGAGACAGGGGCCCGTTGTCCGAAATTAACTTTAGTTCACTTTATACCTTTACGATGTTTCTGACAACGGCCCCCAGACCCCGATGAGCGTGAATCCACCAGCTGTGGGTGAAGGATCGCGCATAAATTACTCCGACTAAGAAAAAATTGCGTACATTCAATAGCGCTAACGCCAGGCTTTACAATTTGTTGCAGACGACAACTGCCCCGTGCATTACTACGACGGCACGAATCCCAGAAAAGACCAGCTGTTCCTGACCGTATTACAAGCAGGCGTCGTGGCACACACGGGGAACGCGTGGGCACTTATTCTGTTGTTGATCATCAGCTACGCACTTGTATCGGACACAAACTAATTTGAGAACGTGGTGCGATAGCGCCCTGGCTCAAAGGATGTTAGGAATATTAAACAACTAGAATTTTTCAGTTGTCCTATCAGGCAACTAGGCAAGAGAATAACTTGTCCGACATAGACTCACTTGTCCCGGGCTATCGGACAACTGTTAGTCTCGAGGGCTGTCAACTGACAACTGAGTGCATAATAATTTTTTTTTTATAAATTTGGCATAGTTTAACCTGGTATTAACAAAGTTTTGGCCTTTGTCCGCTAGATGGCTACATTTGTGGGAATTCGGCTGTTCTACTTTTCTGACATCACGCCACTGCTAAAATTATCACTCTATTTATCGTCATTATATCAGGAGTAGATAATAGAAGATCTTCTATTATCTACTCCTGATTATATCTACAAATATGGCTGGATTTAACAAATATGGATAAGCCTATGTTGGTGTCCGACAGACGGGCTACACACTGAGATCGGTGGCGTGGGCTTGATGTTCACCGCGGCGGAGATTACAGCGTCGGAAAATCGGCCTCTCCCCTCTTATGATATAGATATTATATGCGTATGTGCATGCGTGGGGTTTGGATGACATACACTAGCTAATATGTATCTATTACTATTCCAGGTCCACGAGGAAGAAGGGCTTTAAATGTAGGAAGCCTTACGAAATCTATGCCACAAAAAAGTGTCAAAGTTGCGAAGCCACTTGCTTGGAAGGACCCTGTACGTAGGATGGTTTAATATATTCACCTGAATATATTAATAATGCATGCCAGGGTTCGAAATTAACGCTCGCACACTCGCAAAATGCGAGTGGATTCCCGAAATTGCGAGTAGAAAATATAAGCACTTGCATTTTTGTGCGAGTGACATATAATCTGTTGTGATGACTATCAAAATCCAACATCCCATATCCAGGCATTTTAAAAGTAATCCTAAATACGCACGTTCCTGTGTCTCGCCGCAAGACCTCCAGTCATATATTATGATATTATATATATAACTGTATTCTATATCTACGGTCCGACGTAGCTGCCTACTGTAAGAAACCCGGAAACATGCTACTACTAAGAATATGTAATTTGTACAAACATTGTTTTGATATTATACATATATGTATGAATTTAAGGTATATATCATGCTTCTAGCGGGTATAGGTCTGGGTTGCCTACGTGATTCGTGTCAAGCAATGAAACGAAGGATAAGCTCCTATATGTGACAGACATTGAGCATTTTGTGATAAAAGCATATTTCCACAGCTCGCGTTTTTATGTGACGGAAAGAATGTGTTATAAAAGTGGAGCCGCTTCTGCGATTGCCTCTAATGACCTTGACGGTCGGTGACGTTGTGGATCCACTGGTGTTACAGCGCCATTCAAATGGTCATTATAGCATCTTAGAACATATTATGGTTTATTCAGATTACGGTAGAATTTTAGTGTACATGTAATAGGAGTCTAGGACAGGACAGATGACGTCATCTCGAAAATGCGGGGATGACATTACAGCACGTGTTCAAAATTTTCCGCCACGCAATTTTAATATATAAGCCTACACATCTTTGGGCATTATCCCAACTTCTTTCCGAGAAACATTCTCATGTGGTTTGTTATTTTTTGCTATTGTTAGGGAACATGACGAATCGATTAAGATAGAACATATAGAATGATTAGCTGATTTCTGCATTTGCATATTTTCTGCAATAACTGCAATGAAATTACGAAACATGTTTTAAGCACATCTCAACTTCTAAGTAACAATTCTGAGCGGTTCGAATATTCTATGATGGTTTTGGAATAAAAGCTATGAAAATAAAATTTCAAACGATTAGGGTACATGATTGTCTCGTAGATATACATATCATATTCATCGTAGATACAATATATACAAACACATTGATTGCTGACTCCTCGCGCGCCCCTAGGCACTTGGAGCATTTCAATAAAATATAATGCTAAATAAATACGAAATCTATTTACTACCACAGTCTTAATGTTTCTCTACTCTCTTTCACCTAGCTATTATTGCTGACAATTTCCTGTAAATGCCGTCCAAATGCTCATGTGCAAAAATACTCAGATTTTTGTGGATCAATAGGATATCTTATTGAACTACTTGCTACTGCTAGCCACACTGAGCAAATTAAATATATTTTCTTGTTTTGTTATGCATTTTGACATTTTAATAAATTTTTATTGAAACCAGAATAATAGTACAATCTTTTTCATTCAAATATGCTCAGCCAACACTGACATTCAAGGAAAGTGTATCATTTAGCCCCATGCCATTAATGGCATTATTCTGCCAACCTGGAGCCAATAATGGCAATATAGCCAGTTAACCCTATGTCGGGCCAATATTGGCAATGTCAGGCCGATATTGGTGCGCCGATTACGAAGTGTCTAAACAACCGGATCCGGTTTCGGAGCCCTGAAAACTAAACAACCGGCTCTCTTCTCTGATGGCATAATTTGTCACTATTTATTAATTTTTTATTATTTTGCTAATTTATTTATTTTTGACAATTAGGGTAGGGTTAGGGTTAGGGTTAGGGTTGGTTAGGTTAGGGTTAGATCATGGTTAGGGTCAATAGTACATAATAGAGATTAGAGATTACATAATTATATAATATGTAAACTTATATAACAATAAGTGAATGTCAATTAATAATAAAATCATAATAATAAAAATAAAAATAGCACAAAAAATTTAGTGGTATAATAGTATTATTTGTCCCGATAGGTCGCTTGTTCAGCATTCATGTGGGCCAAGTAAAACATTTGTGCATCAAATGATCAATCCTTGATATAAGGCAAAGTAGGAAAGTCTGTGCATCAGTGGGCACTTCGTGATACCTATGGTGATACCTAAGGCTAAGGTGCCTAAAGTGGATTTGCACCCCCGTACTGTACGTGTACGTGTACCGTGTAGTAATCATGGCAACGTTGGAAATGAAAAGTCATATTTCTACATGGTAAGTCTTTCGTTTATACTTTTATTATGCAAACCATAGGTACTTTGGATTTTTATCAGGAGTAGATAATAGGGAGGAGTTGTGAACCAAATGAAACAACGGGAAATCGTCCATTTACTAGCCTTATAATACCTACATTTACTCAACCGTAACTCATCCAACTTGAAGCTCAAATCGGACACAGAACATCGGCACATGCATCGTAGCGAAATCTGTTTCTCGTAGAAACACCGCAATCCGTAATATACAGCCTAAAACGTACGAACACGATTACTTCATTCTCTGCCATTAATCCAACGCCCAGTTGCGCGCAACTAAATTCAGACAAAAGCAACAACCTGGCGCGCAGTCGCTGTAACGTTTGCTCTCTCGATAGCTAATCACAGGCACTTGGAACCGTTTCAAATAAATAAAAATGATGTTAAATAAATACAACTTGTCAGTAGCTACACACAGACCAGCAATATCTCAATGTTGTTCTGACCTACATAACTTCAACTCAAACCACCGTTAAATACACGCGAATGCAACACAGTAGCCCGCGGCGCAACATTGCATGCGCACAAATACACAGTATATAGGAAGAGAGTAAAAACGCGTGAATCCACAGGAAATCCAACCGCTCAACTCTTGTCGAGGCACTAAGACAAATAAACCTCCAAATCGCCATGATATGGCATCTGTCTGTAGCTGAATGATCACTTGTTCGAATAATACGTCTTTGCAACATGGTACAACAGACTTTACCCAAATATATGATAAATCCTGCTCAAATTGGCCGGCAAATTTCCCGATGAAGGCCGATTTGGGTAAACCTACAAGAACATAGAGCAATGCGGCGCATTGCACTCTGGGAGAGTTGCATTCCGCCTGCCCTAACTCCAAGAGAGCTATCGCCGCGCCGGAGCCGCTAAGTGACGGTCCACGCGGCCACATCTGTGATTGGTCCCAAAGGATATAATAGAGCAGTAGGGATTCCGCATGTTGGTCCGGTTTAGTCAAATCGGCTTTCATGGAAATTAGCGGCAAAATTGAGCAGGATTTAATCATATAATTCTGGTAATCGTGGTAGCCCATGTCAAGACTATATTTCGAACAAGTGATCATTCAGCCTACACACAGATGCCAATATCATGGCGTTTGGAGTAATTCGTCTCTATCGCGCATCGACAAGAGTGAGCGGTCGAATTTCTGTGAAAGAGGCTTTACCTTACCTCTCCACTCTGTTACTGTCATTTGCAACAATGGCGGCGGGCCATAACTGTGGCATCGGTAATTTAACGGGTGTGAAGTGAAGTTATCAAAGTTGTACGGCGAGTCCGGCACCCCCCCGAGTCCGAGTCCGATCCGAGTCCCGCACCCCCCGAGTCGAGTCCGAGTCGAGTCCAGTCAGAGTCCGCGCAACCCGAGCCGAGTCCGCACCACCCGAGTCCGGAGTCCGAGTCCGAGTCCAGTTTTGATAAAAAAAAGGGTCACAGACCGAACAAGTCGCATTCACTTTATTAGGTGTTTTTCAAAAATGGGGGGGTGTTCCTGCCCGCTGATCTGTCAACTTTTTGCATAAAATAGAAAGTACCATAGAAACTTCATACGTCGACACTTTGACCAGCATATTTGCGACTTGGAAATATAACGTGTTGGAAAATAAAATAAAAATAAAATAAATGTGCATTAGCATGTTACGCTACGAACCATTCTAATGTAAGAATGTAGAATATGGCAATCACCACGACTGGCTTATGAGATGATCTGGGAAAAAAACAGCACTCGGCAATCGTAGTACATCGAACGTGTATAGTCAGTCCGGAAACACAGAGGACACGAAGTCATACGAAACGGCAAAGAACGATCCATTGTGTTACGAGAATGACACGCTTGGTGAACTCAAATGAGAGAGTTGCTAGTACTTAGTACCGTACTACCTATACCTACTACCTCGAAGTGTAGAGTCAAATAGTATACCTACTAGTACTTCGCACATAGGTCATGAAACATATTTAACACGCTTTCTGCTTAATAATTCACGTGCTGCAGCC